GTACTGATTACAATCATATTTTAATAAAAATATTTTTTAATAAATGTACTTATCGGGGCGCTTTAAAAACCCAAGACGCTGCTTAAAAACTATCCAGGACATCCGAGGATACTATAAAAACTAAGACATGTCCCAGCAAAAAAGGGCGGTTGGCAACTAGACTAGGGTCTAGGTAGACCAGAGTAACTTATTCATATTATAGGTACGTAACATAAATTACATAACTTAAATCGTCGCTATTAAATATTGTTTTGCCGAATAAATTCTTAAATGAGGTATGTAAGTAATAGGTAATGTGTAGTAAGCTTAGACAAAACCTATCTTTTATTATTCACTCGACAATCAAAACATCCATCCCTGCTATGTGTCAAACATCTATTGTCAGTAACTGTGTTCCACTGCGGTGTTTCAGTTCCCGCCTTTCTCCGCCATTTTTTTAAATTACTGCAAATTAACTAAACTTCGCTTTTAGCACTAATGTTATAATAATATATAAATTTAGATGAGAAAATTGACGATGAATTGAAAATAATAAACATAGTATTGTATAAACCATAACAATATACCCACATATTTAAAGAAAACACGAAATTAAGTAAATTATTTCTCCCGGGCAGTAAATACAAGCCGCAATGGTTGAAGCATATAAGAAATTACGCCATCTTGAAAGATACTGTTGAGGGGTTAAATTCAAAGCTTCAGTAACATAGATGACCTTTAGATAACTGTGTAAGTTTTATACTGTGTTTCGGTCTAAAGAGTATATGGAGCCAGTTTAATAACAGGATGTGAGGCATTCCATTTTAATCCTCAAAGGTGACAACTGACAACGCATCTGTAGTCTTCCATGCTTGAAGTTTGCTGCGGTTTGGTGCAGGTTCGATAGCCACATTCAGTTTATAAAACAAGAAAATGATTTCAGCATAAAAACTATTTTAAAATATGATTTGACGTCCACACTGTACCAAATTAATGACATCGTCATGATGGTTAATAATTTCCCCTTCCCTTGACATCCTGGTTCAAAAAAGGTTGCTTAGTCGACTACTAGTAAACTAATAGGCTGATAGATGTGGACCTCACTCACTTTCTCTCTTCCTCTCTTCAGAATTTTTTCCGTAGGATTCGCCACGATTTACTGACAGTCGCGCAATTTACAGATAGCAGTATCAGATGTCGCAAAGCTATAAGGCTGCTCCCCGGTAACTAGTGTGAATAGTTAATATAAAATATCTGCCATATCCCTATCAGTCTATAAGAGTAATATAGTAGTATAAAAGAAAAGCCACATAGAGGGGATTTCGACGTAGTTGCTATGCTTAGCAGATGGGTTGGCAATCGCAGTTTTTTATTATTTTGAGTTGTTACGAGGGGCACACTGAAATGATCGGGAATAAGAAAAATCACATGCACAGTATAGCTAAATTGTATTTTATTGTTTTTTTGAAGTATTCTCCGTTCAACTTAATGTACTTTTCCATTCGTGCGAACCAATCATTAAAACAGTAAGTCCAGACTGAAATTGATGTTGACAAAATGGCTGATTTGTACGCTTCCACAGCTGCTTCGGGGTCTTCAAACCGTTGACGGCGTAATAAATCTTTCATTCTAGGGAATGTAAAGAAATTGTTTGGGCTCAGGTCAGGACTGTACGAAGGATGGCTCGTCAGCTCAACGTTTTCCTGCTCCAAAAAATCATTTGTCTTCCGAGCCGTATGGGAGCTCGCATTATCGTGATGTAAGATGATGCGACTTTTCGGGTTATTTTTTCGGATTTCGGCTATCATTTCTGGCAAACAAACCATGATATTCCACTCAGCGGTAATCGTTCTGCGTTCCTGTAAAGGAATTGAAGCAACATGCCCCTTTTTCGAGACAAACGTAGCGACCATTTTCTTTGACACGCTGCGGGAGCGAACCACTTTCGCTGGTTTGACCTCGTCTTCGAAGACCAAAACTGCTGACTGATGTTTCTTTTAGGTTCGTATGAATAAATCCATGATTCTTCATCTGAGACAATATTATAAACGGCATTTGAGTTCCCTCCGTTGAAGCGCAGCAGAGTGTTCAGGCACCAATCTACAAGAGCCGCCTTTTGCTCTTCGAACAAATTGTGGGGAACCTAGCGGGAAACTAGCTTTCTTACACACAGCTCATTATGTAATATCGACCGAATTGCAGTCATTCCAATAGTGACAACAGCCAAAATCTGCTCGTATGTCACATGACGGTCATCTAATATAATATTTCGCACAGCTGCGATGTTTTCCGGCGTGACGAAGTTCTTGGTTGACCTGCAGAAGAAACAGTGCTGAGCAACACTAATGTGTTGCTCAGCACTGTTTCTACGCGGTAGTCCGCGTCGGAACTCGTTATACCAGCGGTATATTATCGTTTGACTCGGTGTTTCAACATCATAAATCGAAACAAGTTCGCTGAGATTTTGAGATTTATCTTGAGATAAGCCGCGACGAAAATTGTGATAAATTATGGCACGGAAATGTTCACGCGAGAACTCCATTCCTGTTAACGACGTGTCAACTTTAAACCAACATAGTTTTTGTTTTTACACATATTTTTTAATTGTTTGAATGTCATTAAAGATTCTAAGTATTCAAATTCTAAAAAAGGTTTTATAGTAACTCAATCCGAAATATTCTATTCCCGATCATTTCAGTGTGCCCTAGTATGTTATTATAAAGCACTGCTTTACAACTGCGATAATATTAGATACAAAAGAGAAGTAAGGGTGCGTCAGTAGGGTTAATTATGAGTTCATTATTATGCATATTTTTATTAAAAGATTTTAATATTAAAATACAAGGACATGTATACAGCATTTTATTAAAAAAATACTTAAGAACAAAAATAATATTTTATAGAAAAAATCGTTTTTTCAACTTCAAATAAAGAACAAAGCAGATTTTTTTACAACATATTCATTAACTAGACAGCTCGATAGCGTAGGGGCTAAGCATTTGGCTACAGCGCTCTGGCCCTAGAGTTCGAATCCCACACGGAAATGTTGCTTGTATGGCCTACAAACAATTGCTTTTCGTCTGTGTGAATTTATATCTAAAACAAAACATTTTCACGTCGCAATTTAAAGCACAGGAAATGTGATGTATCTGTATCTAATTTTCTCTTGTCTATAGCTGAAATGTTAATATCCAATATATAGCCCGTAATTGGCTACGCAAAGTAAGTTTAAGTATGTAGCCAATGCATTTCAAATTCAATAAATAATATATATAATAAATTGGAACAACAAATTGGATTAGGTATAAACAGAACTGAGTAAATATCAAATACTCGTAAACAGAGCTTGTGTTTTAGATAAGAACTTAGTATACGTTTATCCCGGTAGGTTTAGGGTTTCAAGGGAGACAAAATATACGATCTTTATTCTCTACACATTTTCCAGACCCTGCTAAAGTTTTATTCGCTTTATTTATTGGCGATACTGTTGTTGTTGATACTGATGAAGTTTTTATGTAAAATTTATTTGAAGCGTTTTCTGATAATAAATCTACTTGTTCAGCTGTGGAAGAGTCCATAGTAATAAGCGTAAGTAGTCTGGAATTGTTGATAAATGAACCTGTTAATGTAGATCTAACCGTTTGATATGAAGTAAGGTTTTTAAATGTGGCCTTAGAAGTTTTGGTATTTTCGTTTTTAAGTGTTAGATGTGTTTTTGATGTTGAATTTGAATATAATTTACCAAGTAACGTATGGTCTGTATTGTTCCACATCATATATAATTTTTTAATCACATTATCGCTTGCAGGTGGACGTCGCGGATTAGTAAACGGGCCAATAAAATATCCACATTCCAGTCTATCACCTCGTATTTGGCATCCATTATCTAAAATTTCTGTTTCCTCCTTAGTATTAAGTTCGCCTTTATTCTTATTATAGCCACAGAGAATTCTGTCACCTTTTTGTCTACAAATAGTTTCGTCAAAATCGTAACTGCTTTGATTGTATTCTTTATGTGAATAACTTTCTGCCATGCTGTTTGATCGCAAATATGTACTTAATTGATTTTTTGTACTTTTATGGACACGTGCAATCTGTGCGAGTGAATTATTGGCTTCATAAACTAATGGATCAAATAGTAAATGACCTATTTTTGGAGCACCTCCCACAACAATAAATAATTTAACCGTCGCCAAAAATAACTGTAAAATAAAACATCTTGTACATTCAAGTAGATCACTTTGGACCACGTTTCAATGCTGGAGGACATTAGAAGAATAATCTTGAGAGAGAATAAGATAGTGAAATTGAAACTGATAAGAAAATAAAGTCAGGATGTGTTCGCTGTACTTATAGAAATCATAGCAATTGATTAAGCGAGGGGAAATTTAATTGTTACGATTTTGGCATGGGGACTTTTATAAAGCAAGGATATGGGCTAGTTTTAATTATTACTTGCAAATCGTATAAAACAATTAAAAACGTATAATTTAATTATAAAGTTAGTCATTTACTTTAACCCTCCAATTGGGAGAATCAAAATCCTCCCAATTCGATCCACAAATAATCAAAGAAGAAAAAAGGTGCCAGTGTTGTGTTATACAGTAAATTAAAATGTTGAACAAAGTAAAGAAGAGATTGATGATAATTTGTTGACATTTAACAGATATGGTGTTGAATATGAAGAAGACGTATCTGTTTAGTTATTAGTTATTAGATTATAAATTAATCCTTTTATAACTTTTCGCATTTTATTGGTTTGACATTATTTTATGGTTTGATAATATTATAGTATAAATAAAAACAAGGAACTAACAAAGTATATTATGTTGAACTCAGCCGATTGATATAAGTGAACATTAAGTAAATTACAAAGTATTATACTGGTATTATGCCCGATGTTGCTAAATTAAGCATTATTTATCTATGACGGCATTATGAATTATGATGCATAATAATTTAGTGATCTATCCGTCAGCGTATTTGACTACTTCACCGTCGGTTTGTGGTTTGAATCCAAACTGGAGCCTTGTGCAAAACTCAAACAATTTGTACTTGGTTGTTATTATAGCAGCGTGTACAGCTCCATAAATGAAAGAAGACCTGTGCCCAGCAGTATACGGTATTTAGGCTGAAACTTTACTTTTAGTGCCTTTTGATACGCTTGAATCTAAACGCTATATGTATCAAATAAAATATAGAACTCACCGATAAGGAAAATATCATTGTAAATGCATTAATCTATTAACTTGATTGATTGGTACATGGAAATTAAATTTCAGAAAATTAATATTGCAAGTTGTTGCAACTGGTAGGGACAGCAAAAAACTAGTGTGTTTAGTTTTTGTGAGTATAATATATAAATTAATTTTTGGTTCATTATAATGTACCTTAATCAGTTAATCTCAGTTAATATATCTATTTTTTTTTTTTGGAATTCCGTTTTTACGGTTAATTATGTCACACATTTTGAGACTCGTAAACTCGTTCATCACAAATCATAGGTTAACCTATAATTCCCGTATAATAAATTAATTAAATAAAAATCAGCTGCCGTTATAAGAATAAATATCTAAATAAACGAAAATAGTAGCCTCTATGGTATCCTCTTCCATCCCAATTCATGAAATTCCGTCTAGAAGTTTTTTGTGAATCGTGAATACACAGACAGACGGACAGACAGGCATACAGATGGAAGAAAAAAAGCGGTATCTCATCTATAGTTCCTTGTTCTTGATATTGGAATGGCAGATACACTTCATATCAGAGTGTGCCTTTAACACCACAAAGTTGATATAATTCTTAATGTGCATCAGTAAAATTAAATGTCTAGAACTTTTAAACCTCGTTTGAAATACGTGTTTAAGGGATAAATGTGTTATCGTTAATGTTACAGCCAAATCAAGTCTACTGCTGAACATAGGCTTCTCCTGTAGAATGCAGAATAAAAATGCCAAATTGGCGGGCGGGTTAGCAACCACAGTTTATTTATGATTTTAGTTGTCATAAGGAAGACGCTGCTACACATCGCCTGGCTTAAGTATCTCGCATCTTACGACACCCAAACCCTACTACACGATCAGTATAAATGTGTTGTTTTGCTGCAGTTGGGTAAATTTATACGCATATATTATGTGTAAAATTACATTTTAAATTTCTACGGTAACAGTACATTATTGGTAATAATTGAAAATGCACCGACTTAGGAGTTTCGAGATAAAAGCAATGACATTCAGATTCGTTATGGTTAGTTAAAGCAACTGTTTTAATAAAAAAATCTGACGTATGATTTATTTTATTAAAATAAATTTTAAATTTTAGGTTTTTATATTAGCACACAATGAAGCACTTGCAAAATGTGTTGTTCCCGATAAAAATGAAAGTAATAGCAGAGAATTTCTGAATAAAGAAGTCAGTCAAGACAATGTCGTGAAACCGAGATCCAAATGTTGTCCTTATGATTTCGACCCAAATGTTTGTAAGGTTGTGGGTGATAGATTACTTTGCGGATATAATAGAAACATAGGAGGTTTTCAAAACAACGACGCATTTCAGGATTTAAAAAACGGTTGTCGCATACGAGGTGGAAGACTCGAGTGTGGCTACGTAAATGGTCCTTTTACAAACCCAAGAAGGCCACCTGTTGTGGACAATGCTTTACTAGAAGTTGATGCAACAACTGATCTAGTGGTAGATAAAAATAGTAGTGGAGATGCCAATGTAAAGAAGGAATCGCTTAAGCTGCAAAAACAAATAAATAATTATTATGGTACAACAAGATGTATAGAGATACGAGAACGTATAGTTTGTCGACAACAATAAAAGCCTTTTTTGTATTAAGCCCTATTTTAAATTTTATTTCTACTAACAAGTCTGTATTCCTTATCTACTGGGCTGGGTGATATTATATTTCTCAAGAACAAACAGGTGCTTTACTTTAATACCAAATAATTAATTATATAATTAAATACGCTAGGCCAGTGATTTACCTGTTTTTTATGACGCCTGAAGGAACATTATAGTAAATCGTATTAATAATTTTTGCGTTCATACTTAAAAATGGCGATTTTAATACAAGCCCTTCACAAGTCCACTGCTGAACATAAGCCTACCCCAAGGAATGCCACAAAGCACGGTCCTAAGCCACCTGCATCCATTGACTTCCTTCCTTCCTACACTTCGTCCGCTAGTACGAGGCTGCCACTCGAGATCTTTTTTCCCATAGGTTGTCCTTTCTTCGAGGTATATGGCTGGCCCATTGCCACTTGAGCTTCCAAATTCGTTGGGCTATGTCGGTCACTCTGGTTCTACTGCGGATATCCTCATTTTTAAGTTTATCACTTTTATTAAACATTATCATCATCATTATCATTGCAGACCTTCACAAGTCCACTGCTGAATATAGTCTCCCCCAAGGAATGCCACAAACCATGGTCCTGAACTATCGGCACCCATCGACTTCCTACATGTCCCACCAGGTCATCACTCTTCAAAAAGACACACGCAAACTCACTGAAGCCTGAATCGCGCTATCAATGTTCCGAAGTTACCGCGTTATATCATGCTCATACGTAGACACGACGACTTCCAGCCTCTATATATAGAACACCTCAGATATAACTCACTTAGCGTTTGCCGCTCCCCGGGCTGTATGGATTGCCGTACCCACCACAAGTCGCGTTACTAGTGGAATAACGTTTGGCACCGTTAAGTTGTTATCAAATCACCACTTAAATGCGGTAAGAAACAAAATATGATGTTCGATGATGACGGACGACTTTGTATGACAGACTATTGGAATCTCGATGATCGTGAGTGCAGCAGATGGTCGTTCTTCTTACTTTACCGGCGTTCTTCTTACTTGACTGGCGATTCAATTACTTGACCGACCATTTTATTACTTCATTTTATCTTCTTGTGGCGTTAATCTGGCGGCGATTGACCAAAGAATTGAAACAGACGGGAAACTGACAAGATGAATAAATCAAAAGATTTAACTATGCTAGGACTGTTCTATTTAAAGAAAGATGGGACAACTAAAAAAACGCGATTAACTTCAACTTCTTACATTCAGTCACGCAATTAAAATTTTATTCCGTCCTCCATGGTGGTACTACTCTGGAGGCGTGGAGCAAAAGTGTGGTGGTCTTGTTCTTCAAGAAAAGCGGCAAAGCTCTATTGAAAAACTACAGATTTCCCTTCTGAGCCACGTCTATGTGCTGTTTCCGAGAGTTATTACGAATCGTCTCACACGCAGAATTGACGACTTCTAGCCTCCCGAACAAGTTGGTTTCCGAAAAGGCTTTAGCACCATAGACAACATACATACCATTTGGAAAATTGTACAGCAGACCGAAGAATATAATTTGCCACTTTGTCTTGTGTATGTGGACTATGAGAAAGCCTTTGATTCCGTCGAAATTTGGGCGGTGCTGCAGTCCCTTCAGCGGTGTCAAGTTGAATTTCGGTATATCGAAGTGCTGAGATGTTTTCAAGGTAGGGCCATGATCGTAAGACAGGGTGACGTTATATCCCCAAAACTCTTCACCGCTGCATTGGAAGACGTTTTCAAGCTACAGTGTGCCTAGAGCGAGATGTTGTTTTTATGCACTCGATACCGAGAAAGTTAACTACGATTTGTATGGAATAAAATCAGCGCCAACTAGTGGCAATAATCGGAATCACTATCGAGCATTGACTCTCATTCGACAGTGAGAACGTTAACGCACGTGATTGGTTGGAGCGGGAATTTCGATCATTCGAGACGTATAACTTTACGCGGTCGATATCGAAAAAGTATTCACCTAAATTTTTACAGTGAGATAGTAGAGTGAGAATAATTGTTGAAGAGTTAATTTTATTTCGTTTTGTGAGAACGATATATAATTTAGGCAGGACGTTTTTTTTTCGTTAGGAGGATGTTTGCAGCCACAAGGGCATTAATAACTAATAATAATAGATGACTGCTATTATAAAGCCAGTGTTTAAGCAAGAGCTTTTGCATATTTTGGTCCGTTGTCACACCCCAACGACAGGTAATTTAAGGATAGATATAGCCTTTTCAAAGTAAGTGTTCAAGTTTTTGTGTAAATAGCGTTTGATAAATCCAAGTTCCTACCATCACTATTTAATAATTAAGTCAGTAGTAAGTAAGTATCGAAACTGCACTTAACACTAAGTAACTAAATTCCAGTTACTGCTCGATAAATGTCACCATAAAATCATATTAAAATCAAAATATCTTCATGTTTATTGCTTTCAAATTAATACCTTCAATAATCATGACGGTGGTAGAGCCACGCAGCAGTTTTTGCTGTTGCACGTATGGGCCGGCTCGAGCCGGGTTGGTACCACGACCTCACAGAATACCGGCGTGAAGTAGAGGCTCTGCTTCTGTGTTTCGTCTGGTGAGTGCAGTTGGCCGAAGGCCCAATCCCCACCCCCCATCAACATGGTAGCGGAATTACACGATAGACTACCCCAGGAGGGTACCAGTACCCCTAGAGAATCCCTCGCTGAGCATCCACGACCATGTTATTCCAATCCTGAGCGTGGGTGCTCAGGCTGCCCCGCGTATTCTGGGTGGGGGGGGGAGGCAAAATTCCTCTCAACAACAAAACTGCTCGGGGCAAACTGAGCAACAATACCAAGGCGACCCCTGCCACGCTATCCGTGAATTTCTGCAACATCAGGGGACTTTACTCTAACGTAAACGCCGTCCACTACCATCTCGAGACGACGAAGCCAACCTTGCTCTTTCTGACCGAGACGCAGGTTTCCTCTCCGGCTGATATTTCGTATCTCTCCTACCCGGGATACCAATTGGAGCACTCCTTTATGCCTCAGGCTGGAGTTTGCGTGTATGTCAGAGAGGATATCTGTTCTCGACGCCTCGGCAGTCTTGAAGATTCGGACCTTTCCATCCTTTGGCTACGCGTAGACAGCGACGACCATCCGCGCGTCTGCGGGTGCCTCTATAGGTCCCATAGCGGTAATGCCGAAACAAACCGACTAAACGACCACGTCCAAATGGCTACAGATTCCTTGCTACAACAGGTCCTATCCGCAGAGATCGTGATCCTTGGCGATTTTAACGCCCACCGTGCTGAATGGCTCGGTTCACGTTTAACCGATCATCCGGGGAGATCTGTTTATGACTTTGCCTTGGCATATGGTCTGACACAACTGGTTACTTCGCCTACGCGGATTCAGATGTGGAGGATCATACACCTTCCCTGTTGGACCTTCTGCTGACCTCTCATCCGGACGGATATCAGGTTTCCGTCGATGCCCTTCTCGGCTCTTCGGACCATTGTCTGATCCGGAGTGTGATGCCACTCACGCTCCCTTCGCGGTTGCGTTCTACAGGTTGCCGCCGTGTTTGGCATTACAGGTCGGCGGATTGGGACGGAATGCGGTCTTTATTTGCATCCTACCCATGGGAAGAAGTATAACTTGGCCTCCAGGTACTTCAAAAGAGTTATTGCCAAGGCAAAGTCAGAGCACATAGGCAAAATTGGCGAGAAACTAGTTCGCCTTCCTTCGGGAACCCGTGCATTCTGGTCTATCGCCAAGGCTGTCCAAGGGAAATTCTGTAAATCATCACTACCATCTCTGCACAGGGAGGACGACTGGCCCAAGACGCAAAACACAAAGCTGACCTTTTAGGCTCCCTTTTTGCGTCCAACTCGACTGTTGATGGCGGGGGGAAAACACTGCCGACCATCCCGCGGTGTGAGTGCTCCATGCCGGATGTGCTATGTTCGCAGCGCTCGGTTCGCAAAGCACTTCTCTCCCTGGACATGCAAAAGTCGAGTGGACCTGACGGAATCCCCCCAATTGTGCTGAGGACGTGTGCTCCGGAGTTGGCACCGGTTCTAACGCGTCTTTTCCGGTACTCCTACTCCCAAGGCGTAGTCCCGAATTCATGGAAGACAGCTTTGGTCCACCCGATCCCTAAAAAAGGCAACCGCTCAGACCCGTCCGACTATAGACCTATCGCGATCACCGCCTTGTTCTCCAAAATAATGGAATGCATTATTAACTGCCAGCTCATCCGGTAACTTGAGAATCACCAGTTGATTAGTGACCGCCAATACGGTTTTCGTCGGGGTCGATCAGCTGGTGATCTTCTGGTCTACCTGACCCATAGATGGGCGGAGGCAGTAGAGTCCAAGGGGGAGGCGTTGGTCGTTAGTCTGGACATTGCGAAGGCCTTCAATCGGGTTTGGCACAAAGCGCTTCTTTCGAAGCTCCCTTCCTATGGGCTTCCCGAGAAATTGTGCAATTGGATCACCAGCTTCCTTGCAGATCGGAGCATCAAGATCGTTGTAGACGGTGCATGTTCTGACTACAAGCCTATTAACGCTGGTGTTCCACAAGGCTGTGTGCTATCACCAACGCTGTTTCTTCTGCATATCAATGATATGTTGCTAACTGGTAACATTCATTGCTATGCGGATGACAGCACTAGTGATGCTGTATACACCGGCCGTGCCAATATTTCTCGGGAAAACGTCGCCGAGTACCGGAAAAAACTTGTGTCTGAAGTCGAGTCTTTGCTGAGCAAAGTCTCGGATTGGGGGCGACTAAATCTAGTCCAGTTTAATCCTCAAAAGACACAAGTTTGCGCGTTTACCGCTAAAAAGAACCCCTTTGTCGTATCTCCTCAGTTTCAATGCACTCCCTTTCTTGCCTCAGCCAGTATCGGCATCCTCGGAGTCGACATATCGAGTGACGTGCAGTTTCGTGGTCACTTGGAAGGGAAGGCCAAATTGGCCTCTAAAAAGCTTGGCGTGCTCAGCAGAGCGGGACAGTATTTC